TTGGTACCGGGGATTGAACTTGGGTCCTTGTGCTTGTAAGGCAGGCCACTGAACCACTGAGCTAAATCCCCGGCCCAATTTACAAAATATTTTCCTCTTCATTTTACCATCCACAAAAATAGATGGACCAGTGTGTTACTATCACATTGTTTTCCATAAAGAAAAATAATGGTATTAATGTTTCAGGCTCAGCATACAGTCAGTAAAGCACAGTCATGAGGAATTAGCTTAGTTAATGTGTACAGCTGCTGTATATTGCTTATTTTGTTTGTGAATTACAGAAGAAAACGAGTACAAACCAAGTTTGTAAGGCTGGTGAGTGGAGACATTTTGACATGAATCCAGCCTTCTAACTCTGTGGTTGGTAGCTCCTGTGGGGTTGCCTGTGAGTTCCTCAGGCTCACTATCTTGGGCTGTCAAATAGGAAGCTGATAGTGCAGGAGTCCCCCTTATCCAGTTACTTATTATATAATTCCCCAGTGCTAAGACAGTTGTGTAGAGAAGCAATAGTCATAGAAAATAAGCTTCTCCCTGCTAAGCCAGAGCACATGGCTTAGGTTGGGTCTCCTGCCATGGAATATCCTTGTGGGTGTCTTTGTTTGGGTTTTCCTGGAAGTAGGGCCTGAAGCTGGATTCAGAGTTGGGGCTTGGGAGGTAATGCTGAGGATCAGGATGTTGGAGAGGAGAGCAAGAGTAGAGTTAGGAAAACAGCCATTTAAAGATGAATTATTGTTCTGCGTCACTGGGTGGGTAACTTTGAAGAGCAGTGTAGACTGTACTTCAGAGTTGTCCCAAGAGGGAGGACAGGCTGGGACATTCCTGCTTTGATAGATGGCACTTCACAGTCATAGAGAAATCCAAAGGAGAGAAATGGGGAGTTGGAGGTGGGACTCTGTGCATATAGCACCACCTAGTGCTGCTGCCCTGAGGTTGCTGGCTTCTGGAGGTGTTGGAGCCCAGAAACCTCTGCTGAGGAAGGTTGGCCTGGCCTTGAAGGAAGCCTGGCAACATCAGATCAAACTGTGCATGATGGCACAGTGAAATCGAACTTTTGCAAAAGCTGTGTTTTAAAAAGTCAATGCAAATGATCCTGGGATACTGCTGGGATCACAAGCAAAGCTTTGAGGTGTTAGAAATAGAATAAGAAGGAGGAAAGAGTCTCTGATGATAATGATACTGTGGGTACTTCAAAGGGAAACACTTTGATTAAAAGAGGACCCTGTGAAGACTGATAGAACACTCAAATAATTTCAAATAATTTTTCAAAATAACCTTTTAACAATGGTGCTTGTGAGTGGGGAATTTAAAATGAAGGATTTGTTGGTGCTATAGTTTAAATTTTGGCTAAAAATCATGCCAGCTTTTTTTGTGCTCCTGCCACTTATTTCTCCTGAGTTGGTATATAGTTGTAGTTATATTCTATATATAACTAAAATATACATTAAACACAATTATTTTATATTTAAATAATATAATTATTTAAATATAATTTAAATAATATAATTTGAATAGTTTTAAGAATTAAGTTTTAGCTAGTTCTTTTCTTGACAGTGTCTGGAATTTCAGCCCAATCTTATATAGTTTCCTTTTCTTTCTTTTTTCCATATTGGGGGTTGAAGCCAGGACTTATGCACTGAGCTATATCTCCAGTCCTCTTTGTTTTTTTTTTTTTTTTTTT